CTGTGGGTGCTGAGACGATTCGACTAAGTCTTGAGATGGATGAAGACCGTAAGAAGCCGGGATCCGCTATAGACAGTGAGGACTTCACGTCAGACTCGGCGGCCGTGCCGGCCGACTCGACTGATACGGATGAAGACTTCGTCCTTTCGTTGCGTGAAAGGGTGCCGTTTGAACCAGACCTTACCTGGGCGGGAGCAGTCACTGAGGACGAAGATCCTCATGCTGGACTTCGGGACCTAGCTGAGGAAGGCTCGGAGTACTAGCCGGCAGATGAGAAAGAGAAAAGAGATGAGAAGGAGGGACTTCTCATGTCTAAGCTGAGCCATCTCAGCAGAGAAAACGCCGACCGCATAATGTGTTCTCTCAAGAGTATAGGAATAGCTGCATGGTCTTTGGACGACCTCAGGCCGGCAGATGTCCCTGTGTCACATTCGTTTTAGTTAACTGACGACAGACCCATTTCGCACGCCGTTCGGAGGCTCCCTCCGAGACACAACGCGGTAGTGCGTGAGGAGATCGAGAAGATGCAGAAGGCAGGGATCATTACCCCCTCTGTAGCTCCTTGGTCGTTTCTGGTCGTCATCGCAACGAAGAAGGACGGGAAACCTCGCTTCTGTGTTGACTACCGCGAGCTTAACCGGGTGATGAAGGCCGACAAGTGGCCGTTGCCAAAAATGGAAGAGATATTCGACGACCTTGAAGGAAGCAAAGTATTCACTACCCTGGACTTGTTCTCGGGTTATTGGCATGTGCGGATGGCTTCATGGTGCAAAGAACAGACGACGTTTGTCTGTCGGTACGGGACGTTTCAATTTGAAGTGATGCCATTCGGGCTCATGAACGCTCCTTCAACATTTCAAAGGATGATGGATGGCGTATTCAGAGACCTGCCATTCGTCCGAGTATACCTTGATGACGTGGTCATTTTTTCGAAGTCCTTGGACGTCCATGTTGACCACTTAATTGAAGTGTTCGAGCTGATTGCTCGCAGTGGATTGAAGTTGAAGGTTGTGAAGTGTTCCTTCGCGCAATCACAGACCAGGCTATTGGGGCACGTCATCGGAAAGAAGAGATTGATGTGGATCCAGAGAAGACATCGATCATTTTGGACACCCCCGAGCCGCGCACCAAGACGGAGTTACGAAGCTTCCTTGGACTAACGGGGTATTACCGCCGATTTATCCCTAAGTTCGCAAAAGTGTCTACATCGTTGCATGCTGCTACTTCTGCCAAAGTCGAATTTGAATTTACGGAAGGGATGCGGACCGCCTTCCAGGAGTTGAAGAAGAGGGTGACGTCTCCTCCGCTGTTGGCGCTCCCGAAGTTTGACGAACCCTTCGTGGTCGAGACAGATGCATCCAACATGGCAGTGGGAGCAGTTCTGGCTCAGAAGAAGGAAGAAAAGAAGGTTCACCCGATACAATACGCGAGCAGGGCGATGACGGAGACTGAGAAGAAGTACTCCACCTGTGAGAGAGAAGCGTTAGCGGTGATCTTCGCGCTAAAGAAATTTCGGGTGTATTTGCTCTCAATGCAAAAGTTCAAGTTGATTACGGATCACCAAGCGCTTCAGTATGCGTTCAAAAAGAAGGACATCCACGGCAGACTTGCCCGTTTGTTGGATTTCCTGGCGGAGTACGAATTCGAGATATTGTACCGCCCGGCTCAAAGAATTGTGCCGCTGACTTTCTCTCGCGTCTACGAGAAGACGATGGCAGGCGCGAGGAGGATGAGGGGGACCTGGTATGTGCTGCCGCTTTTGCGAAAGGAGATATAATGGATGAAATGGAACCTCATGTGCGGGACACGTACCGTTATCTCGAAGGCGAAGAGATGGTCGAGCAAGATGCTGCGCAGAGGCGCAGAATCAAGAAGAACTCCAGGTGGTCCCTCGCCTGGAACGGAAGGCTGTTTCGCAGGACGAAGAATGGGATCAGAACAATCCCTTCTCGGGGGACTCGACTGCAGATATTGCGGTCGCTGCATGACGACATTGGCCACTGGGACGCAACAGCTACGAAGCAGTTCGTCCTTGACAGGTACTGGTGGCCGGGAGGTCATGGTGATATCTACGCCTACGTTCGTGGATGTGAAGGCTGCCAAAAGGCTGCGCCCATCCCGACGTACAAGAACACCGCGGTGATACCAGTCTCTCAGCTCTTTGAGACATTCTCGATAGACTTTGCGGGACCCCTTCCCAAGACGAAGAACGGAAAACGTTACATCCTGATAGCGGTCGAACATCTGACTGGTTGGACCCTGGCTTGGGCAACCGAGACCGCTACATCTGCCGAAGTTGTCAAGTTCGTGAAGGAGGAGATCATCCATTCGTTTGGTCCCCCTCGGACTATAGTCTCAGATAACGCAACATGTTTCAGCGCGACAGCGTTGAAGAACTTCATGGCACAACAGGGAATTTCACGGAAACCGGTCCTCGCCTATGCTCCCATGTCCAACGGAAAAGCGGAGCGTATGGTTGGGACCATCAAGCGTTCAATTCGGAAGACGCTATTAGGTCAGGGCGCCGCTACCTCTAAATGGGAATCGGCGTTGAAAAAGATTCTCCACGGGTACCGTCGGCGCCGACTGTCCGACGGGTTCTCCCCGTTCGAGTTGATGTATGGAGTTAAGCCGCCCTCGCAACCCCAGACCGAGTCGAACCAAATCCGGTGGGGGGGGGCGTTGAGGGGCGCAACTTGGAACTGTTAGCGACCCTCGCGATCCTAGCGACGAGGAATGCTAAACAGCTGGACAGGAAGAGCAAGAAGATGGCAGTTATCTCACAACGCCAATTTGACGTAGGCGACCAGGTTCTGGTTGCTTGAGGAACAGCCTTGGGAGGGCTACGGAAGTGGCCTTCCGGAGAATCGAAGTACTACGGCCCCTGCAGGGTAGTACGGGCAAAGCACCCGCGGTACACACTCGTGTGGCCGGGTTTGCGCTACAGTCGACGGGATATCCACGCAAGTGGAGTTTAATCCCCTTTATTCAGAAACCCGCACATCTTATGTACCCATGGTCTGGTGCGGGGATGACTACGAGGAGTAGGAGGACAGAGACGATGTAGTTGAGAAACTTCGCTGGGATTGGACTCTCTGTGCGTTTTAGAGGCTGTGAGAAGAGTTGTTGAGGGTTACGGAAAGAGGCGAAATGAGACATCAACGGGAGTCAAGGTTGTCCGATGGAGAGGGGGCAATGTGCATTCTAGCGGAATGAGGAAAGAGGAGGCCGTTCGATCAAGGAACGTCGATGCTATAGGAGTTACTGTGACGCAAGGGCTGGCATTGTGAGCTGTGAAGGCGGCGGAATGGTCGGAACGACTACAGAAGACGTCTACATGCAGGGTGCGTCGGTGTATATGCGGCTGAGAGACACTGGAACTACGGCAGCGTATGATTCAAATGGATCAGTGCATAATTCATGCCTGAGTTGGTGAATCTCTGACCGCATGCAGCCTTGCATGCGAGCCACAGGTCGTAGCCTTAATCAGTTGATGCGACCGTCACGTAAATGACGAGTTTCTCGAGCCAAAGGGCGATGAAAGCATGCCCAACTTGTTTCTCGATCTGGTTCTGGAAATATTTCACTGACAGTCAGGCCTGGGAGTAGCCGTTGAGGATGGTAAGTCGTCTTGGTCCACGAAAAATGACGTAATCCACTTGTGGTTACAGTTCGCCGGTTATCGTAAGACGGTGGTTGCTAATTTCTCCGCTACGAAACGAACGCAGCCGAAGGCTCAGGCGACGCAGAAACCACGCGGCCTGAGGCAAAGGCGACGTGAGACGAACGCAAGCCGCCTTGCTACCAAGCGCAAGATGTTGCAGTTTCCCGCCAGTGGCAGCCCTTGCCGTCTGCCTGGTCCGACCCATGTCGCACAGAGAGTACCGTCTGAAGGACCACAGACCTGTCGTGCGTGGCTCGGAACGCAGCGCGTTTCAAAGAAGTCCCGGAACAGGAAGAGCAAGAAACAGAGGCTCAGGCGACGCGGAGACCACGCGGCCTGAGTCTCAAACTGCGTTGGACGATTAGCGGCCGGAGGCCCGGGAGACGCGGAGACCACGCGACCCGAGGCTACGGTGACGCTGAACGTGAAAACCACAAGTTCGGGCGACGCGGAGACCACACCGCCCGAAGTTGAGGTTGAAGTGCCGGATGCGGCGCGAGAAAGAAGCGACGCGAGCGTAGTGGGTGCAAGACGGCGGTGGAGCGGATGAAGTGGTGTAGAGCGAGGACCGCGTAGAGGAAGGCGGTTCGGCGTAAAAGTGGAGAGACGGTGGCCGGGGGGCCACAGCGGTCACGCGAGGAAGCGGGACACTATATTTACGTACAGCGGCAGCCGCGTGGGCTGCGCTGGATAGGGGGTCATGTGGGATATTTTTAGGAAAAATTGCATTTTTACTGTAGAGGGAGATTTTATACTGTAGTCCGAGATTTTATTTGAATTTTAGAGAAGCGCACGCGTACGGCCCGGCGGAATCCGGGCCGGACGCGTGGACCCTTCTGGAAGGAATTTCGTAGAAATAAAAGAGAGATGGTGACGGGCGCTGCGGGGAAAAAGGGGTGGAGAGGACCCTCGGCCGACCCTCACCACGGAACGGCACGCTCCCCAAAACCGCCTCCCCCATTTCACCGACAACGGCACGTTTAGTCCCCTTGTGACGGTACTGTTTACAGGATTCTCGCCACGCGCAGAGGTCTCATTTGTAACGGCGTGACAGGTTGATTGATAGTGAAATGAGTTCCTAGAGTGTTTGCGAAGCAGAGTTATGATGCTAATTGGCAGTTTTTGTCCCATCTTTGCGTGCCCCCCCTTTATGATGCCCTCGGCAAGCCTCGGGGCTCATATCCGCACTCGGAGCGTGTCTGCACTCGTGGCCAGGAGAAAACCCTTAAAGTTACTATCTTCTTCGTCTCAAACATACAAAGCACGAGTCCGTGGCAAACAAGCCTGTGGTGAGGGAGCAACGATAAGTTGCTCTCCGCTTCCTCTCATCTGATAGATGGCCTTCGTTTCTCCAATTCCAGTGCGATGGTCAAGCCACACCAGCTTCTCTGCGTCAAAAGCGATCGTGCTCCGACATCATGTTTCGCATCATAGCCGACGCCGCGCATCCATGGAAGCTCAACAATCATCCCCGACCTCCCCATCTCAGCCTGTGCAGTCTCAGAAACTAGGCCCCAAAGCAAGCACCGCGCCCAAATCTCAGCCCCCCTCTCGCCCTCCTTTCGCATGGCTTGACAACTGGTACCCAATGGCATGGGCAGAAGACGTCCCACATTCAAAGCCCATCCCCGTTACCATTTGGAATCTCCACTACGTCCTGTTTCGCAATACGGTGACAGGTAATTACGTCGTCATGGACGATGTCTGTCCTCCCCGTGCCGCCCCATTGTCAGAGGGTCGACTCTATGAACGATCACGTCCAGACGGCAGCATGGAGACGATTCTGGAATGCGGCTACCACGGCTGGCGCTTTGATTGCACTGGTCGCTGCGTTGACATTCCAGTAGTGGACTTGCAGAAACGCATCCCAGCAGCGGCAGACGTCGGCGGTTTGTATGCGACACATGTTTCCATCGCCGGTCTCATCTTCGTGTGGTTGGGTGACCGTGCTAAAGCAGATGTTAGCAAAATCCCAGTGCCGAAATACCTTTTGGATCTTGGTGATCGTGTCACGACTTTCCGGAACCCATACCGCGTCTTTCCCTTTAACTTTGGCACACTCCTTGAAAACGTCGCAGACCCCGCACATGTACAGTGGTCTCATCATGGAACTGGTCAGGGTAATAGAAACACCGTGCCACGTAATGGAAATCTAGAAATCCTTGAGAAAGACGACGCCAGCGGCTTTTTCAGAGCCGGAATCCGCATCGGTGATTCACCATCACATCGACTCAGTGTTACGTTTGAAGCCCCGACCAGTGTTGCTTATCGGCTTAATTCACCTGTTGGCAAAGCCGCACCTTTTTCCCTCTTGACGTATGTTGTCCCCATCGACTACAACCGTTCCGCTTTGTTCGCTGTCAATTGTAACATCGACATGCCGCGTATTCAGAAGCTCGTGAAGCGAATTACTCCACGCTGGTATGAACATACGATCTCAAATTTGATCCTTGACGGGGATTCACTCCTGTTGCAATGGCAAGAGGCTCATACGCAGAATCGCATTCGCGATGGGTACGGCAGCGCGTGGAAGAAAGAGTATACGCTTGCATCGGGCACCTGGGATTCCCTGGTAGTAGAATTTCGGCGGTGGCTTGACCACAACTGCCACATTATCCCGCACCAGAAACAAATTTCATCCGAGGCGCCAATTGTTCTACAATCGCGAGAGGAAATCAACGACAGATATGCTTACCACACGAAGCATTGTGAATCATGTCGGCCGGCGTTGCAGAATCTTCGAACAGGCCGAGTAGCAGCGTTCGTTGGAGCAGGTATTGGGTTCGTCACATTCTTGTGTTCCGCGCTCCTATTTGCCGCGCTAGGTTTCGATCCCCCAGGCAGACTTGTCGGGCCATACCTGCGTTTTGGGCATACAAAACATAACAGCGGCGTCTGCACGCAAATTATTATAAACACATCCCCGCAAGCTGTACGCGTACTGTACAAACTCTCTCGTTTATTTTTCTCTCTCTTCTTGCACTACCTCTCGAGAGGCAGTGGAAGGTAGCAGATTCCTTTCTCCCATGAGGGCCAGAAAGCTGGACACATACTGAAGCATTGCATGTCGAAGGATCGGGGAACATTCGTGTTGTGCTGTACAGCATGTGCTGTACAGCAAGGTAAGAAATGCTAGAGAGGCCAAAGGTCCGGGCCTGGTAGTGTAGAATGCAATTAGTGGTGTCTCCCCTTGCCTCCAGGAACAGCGCGAGACAGTGCGCGCTTTGCGAACTAGGCTACGAGCTTCGCTCTGGAAATAGTTCCATTCCCTTTTGGGCTAGGACGAACATCAGTAAACATTGGAGCTTTATTGCTACATTGGTGATACTCTCCCGCGCGAGTAGTCACAACTCCCGTCCTCAACCGATCCGTGTTCCAACAGGAACAACCCAGGCTCCTGTGCGCCTGCCGTTAGGACAAGAGCGAAGACTTGACCTCGAAGGAACACTCTGTCATAGGAGTTTTCCGACATTGCACGCCTTTAAAGCGCTGTTAGGGTATTTACACGTGCCTGCTTGCACAGAGGTGCGAAAAATGTCCATAGCACCTACTGCTGAATGGGTAGACTGTACAGTATGAATGTAGTACCTTCTCCATACACAAGAAATCCTTCGCTCTAGGGGGGCAGCGATATCCAGTGACCTGTGGTAAGACCTACGTAAACGGCCGCGGGTGGTCAAATATTTACACACTGGAGCACGGTCCTTTGGCAATCAAGAAGTCATCCCTTATCCACACAACTACAGTACAGTACTGTATGACGTTGTAGCAGCATCGCATGGTGTTTGAAAATGAATTGCGGGACCTGTGCCCCTACAGAATATCGTACAGAAGACATCACAACGTTTTGGACTTCGCATTGCAGGAGACCGATGTGCATTGATGGCTGTACTCTCTACATCCGGAGTGAAATATAACAGCACGCATGATCATACAGGGGTCTTCCACCCAACCTTTGGCTAACAAACCCAGAATTTCCTTGCCACCTCAGTTAGATTCGAAAGACCTGCTTCCACTAAAAATTTCAGACATTTTATTTTCACATCACGTGAGAGAAATTAAAGATGAGTGCCGGTGCGTCAATATAGACTCCCGCCGTAAATTTAGACTTTTTCTATTTCCCCAGAAACCATGTACAGTATTAATTTATAAAACTTTTTGGTACTGCTGCCATAGCAATGAGCAAGAGAGAGAGAGGCAGAGAGAAGCCAGAATGTACTAAATTCTGTCGCAAAGACGATTTGAGATTACAGCGTATGTAATAGAGATACCTGTCGACAGCACGTCATGCGGAATCGCATGAGGCAAAGGCATCTCCAGCTAGACTCTGAGTAGAATGTTCAAGCACTCGGTGCAATACGGAACAAACGAAACATGATTTCGATATCCCTGGGGATCAGTTCATCCCGATTACTATAGCCCGTGGCACCTCTATCGTAAACTCACATTTCCATATTCACACTGATGGAGACAGGAAAATCGCCTAGACATGCAGACCGTAGGCTTTTTACCAGAACTAATTGAGAGTTGTCATCACTCTCGAATGAATACCGTCTAAAACAGAGATGCGAATTGCTCCGAGACACGGTATACATTTACCTTGTGGGTTGCGCGCATAGTGGAAAATCGTACATACGTGTAACTCTAAGCAAGTGAGTCGAACTACGAACCATCGCATCTAGTTTCACATGAAAAAATTACAACGCATGCATGTTGAAATGGAAACTTGGTTGCTCGGGTTCATGGAAGTGCCTCGCGAAAGAAAATTGCTTCTAATCAGCTTTTACACAAACATCAACTACAACTGGTACAGTGCCGAGGAAAATTGTATAGTGTAGCCGTATTCGGCCAAAAAAAGCGTTTGTGAAGTCCTTGATATGAATCATGTTGAACCCAGAAATAGCCAAAACATTGATTTCCTTGTATGACAAGCACCAATTTAGAGATATAGAGTAATGGAATTGAAAAGAGTGACGTACTACTGCATGATGACGATTTCGGTTTTAACATGTGACACGCACTTGGCAGGCCAGGTGAGGGTTACTCGCAATTGTCTAGCTTTGTAGCTCCCCACTTTCCTTTCCGCTATCAAACACATCGCTCTTTATATACTTTCTTTGCCGGTTAGAAAAGTAATTTTTGCGGCTACCCCTCTGAAAAAAGTCAATGTCGATTTGGCGCCGATACAGGCAAAATCTGAATTTCTTCCCCACTTTTAACACTAGGAGGACAAATACGGTAGGTATGCTTGTCATTTTATTTATACTTTCTAGAAACATACTGTGTGTGTCCTCCCCAATAGACTAAACGCGCCATCCCTTTAAAGATTGGCAACCAGGCTAAGTTCTAAGCCATACCAGAATGAAGTCGCGACGAAGGATTGCAGTATCTAATAGACCTAAAAGGATGTACGACAGGTTGAAAACAACGACGTAAGGTATTGTACTGTCATTAGTTCTAGATTCAAATGGCAGTTTACTGTTGTTTGTCCTTCGTTGTATTATTGACTTGAATTTATAGAAAAGGCGTTCAGCTCGGATGGGGAGAGCAAAAGGGAGCAGGGAACAATCACTCGATAGCACTGAGAGCCTCTGACCTGCAGTGTGAGGTGTGTCCAACACAAGAACCGCTTTGCAACCAACACTCAACAAAAGAAGGTCACTTTGTTCATTCGATTTAAGCTGTTAACGGCTAAAAAGGCACTACTTTACTGATTTCAATATTGTTTTTTGCAATTAATAACTACAAAAGATCATTGCTGCAGCGAAAAGCTACTGAAAGGTCTACTTTCTGGAAGTTCACAGACGATCTTCAAACGCTGTATTAAGCGCAATTCTGTGCTCAATATTGGAAGAAAATACAAGCACTTATCCGTACGTCTTAAACATTTCATTACAACGGGCAAAATAATTTAACAGTGCGCAATGAAGCGAAGATTGGCATGTATCAAAGAGAGATATTATTTTGGTAGTGCAACGCACAGGGTGTGATGGAACTTAAACGACGGGGAACGTTTATTTGGACCAAGCTCCCACCTTCTTTTTGCGGATAGGTTTGTGAGAGTAGTGATCCCTCCGCACTGTCCCGAGGGTAAGGCATTGTGTCAATTCCGCGCCGAGGTATGGCTGCTCTTTTCGTCGTCGGTAGCCTTCAATTCGCGATAATTCTGTCTCATAATGCACGTGTGTCTTGATAATTATTGACTAGTGAGGTATTTCCTTAAGGAAATACCTCACTAGTCTCATCCCATCGTCTCCACTGGCGCATGTAGGGAATATTATATGGTATGTGGACCTTCCTTAACATTTGAAACTGCCCTGCCTGTAGTGCAATATGGGGTTTACAGGGGGGTGAAACGAAAGGAAATTAATTGGATATGAAAAATAGTCCGGGTTGGGGGACACACGTGTGAATAATTGCACAGTTTTAATTTTTAATTGTTTTATTTTATTTAGTTGATTAGTTGGCATTAATTTTGCTGACATTAGATTAGATCTAGGATCTAGCGCCGCGAGCTACTGTAGTGGCTCCGGCGGGGCGATATATACCTTAGCCCTCTGACCACCCAATCAGTAAAGGTAACCCGAGTTGCCGGAGTTAGATCTCGCCTTCGTCGAAGACCGCTTCCGTTCACGCGACGCGCCTCCCTTTTACGCTGCTAATGACATCCTCTATTGCTCCGGTCCCATTCCTTTTCCTTATCCTTTTACCTTTTCTATCTCTACATATATTTTTCCCTTAATTTTGTTGGTTCCATTAGAGACGGTCGCGACCGATCCGGTGTAGGTGTTTTAGCCATCGGGCAACACGTTGTGTAGCGCTGCTACTGTTTCAAGTTCCGTAGGAAGGCTGTTGTAACAACGCCTCCGTCGAAGGTCTTGCATAAGACAGAGTTGGTACCGCCTACCGCGATCGCGATCGCGCTGGTGATGGTGTTTTTAGCCATCGGGCAACACGTCGGTAGTAGCGTTGCTACACGGTTACGATCCCGTCGGGTAGTGTTGAACAAGCCCCCGTCGAAGACCTTGAATTATACCCAAGGTGCTGAAGACGCTCGTCGAGCATTGGCTTTACAACCCAGCGATCCGCGGTTACATTCTCGTAGACAAGCCCAACCCGCACTCGTCGAGCACTCAAGTCTTCACAAGTCTCTACCACCATTATCCTCCCGGGCCGGGTATCTTTCCTTAACCCCCCCGTCGGAGTCGAGCTACCGTGGGCCGCAAGGCCACACAAGGGGAAAGGGAGTCTCGAACGCTCCGTAGCGCGTGCCATCGGCAGTGGTTGTTGCTGTTGCTGTTTTTCTTCTTTTTTTTGACTGTCGGACTGTGTTCGCGGCCTGCCAGGCACATTGCACTACAAAAGTGGTCTCCCGAGCTAGAATTTTCTACGGGAAACCCCCACCTAGAATTTTGTCTACGACAAGGAAGTTGGTCTGGGTAACGGAGTCTCTCTTTTATTTTTTGTTTGCAACTTTTTTTGTGTAAGTTCGCTCATACGAGCGATGTCGACAAGCGCACCCGGGGACGTCGGTCCTGGGGCGAGTAGAAGCGGATCAGCACGGGCGTCGAGGATCCCGAGGGGTCCTCGCACCCGGAGCCAGGCCAATGCGGCCACGGATCCCGGAGATCAAGAATCCCCTACGGGGATTGCCGCCGACAAGAATGACCTCGACGAGAAGTTCGAGAAGATGGGCAGCGAAATTCGCGAAGAAGCGAAGAAAAATCTCGAGGGTGAATTAGCCCTCGTCCGGAAGCAACTAGAGTTGCAAGCATCCGAGTTCCACACCGTTTTGGGAGAGCTGTCGGCTCGAGTGGATCTCGCCGAGAAGGAGCGAGGTGAGGCGACCGACGGTCTGGAGCCGGAGGTCCTAGCCTCGTTGAAAATTTCGGTCAAGGACGCGAGGCGCGACGCGAATCAAGCCTTGGAGTCCTTAGGAAAAGTTAGGACAAGCATCGATGACCGATTCGATCGCGCCGCGCAACGTCTCAAGGACCTCGAGCAGGCCGCGGATCAAGCTCCGCAAGGATCGGACGTCGAGCCGCTCCCTTCGGGTAGAGAGGGCGACCGTCGGTCGAAGAAGGACAAGCCCGCTCGGCAGCGGAGTTCCAAGTTGAAGCCCTCGAAGAAGGACAATCGACATACAAGCAAGGGTCACTGTAGTGACGATCCGGAGAACCGCGACTCACAGTCGGAGTCGCTTGGTCCCTCCGAAGATGGTAACGGCGGTTCGTCGAACCATTCGGGCGATTCCGAACGCCGTTCAGAAGAAGGAAACGGAATTTCGTCAAGCAAGAAAATTTCCTCCAGACGAGG